TAACTATGTTTATTCTTCCAATCCACATGCATGGGATATCTTTCCATTTCTTTATATCATCATCGATTTCTTTCAATAATGTCTTGTAGTTCTCATTGTATAGGTCTTTCACCTCCTTGGTAAGATTTATTCCTAGGTATTTTATTCTTTTTAATGCAATTGTAAATGGTATTATCTTTTTGAGCTCTCTTTCTGTTAGTTCATTATTAGCATACAGAAATGCAACTGATTTTTGTAGATTGATTTTGTACCCTGCAACTTTGCTGTAGTTGTTGATTATTTCTAATAGTTTCACAACAGATTCTTTAGGGTTTTCTGTATATAAAATCATGTCATCTGCAAATAGTGAGAGTTTCACTTCTTTCTTACCTATTTGGATTCCTTTTATTCCTTTTTCTTGCCTAATTGCTCTGGCCAAAACCTCAAGTACTATGTTGAACAGGAGTGGTGAGAGTGGGCAGCCCTGCCTCATTCCTGTTCTCAGAGAAATGGCTTTCAGTCTTTCCCCGTTGAGTATGATGTTGGCTGTGGGTTTGTCATAAATAGCCTTTATTATGTTGAGGTACTTTCCTTCTATTCCCATTTTGTTGGGAGTTTTTATCATAAATGGATGTTGTATCTTGTCAAATGTCTTCTCTGAGTCTATTGAGATGACCGTGTGGTTTTTATTCTTTGTTTTGTTGATGTGATGTATCACGTTGATTGATTTGTGGATGTTGAACCATCCCTGCGTCCCTGGTATAAATCCCATCTGATCATGGTGTATGATCTTTTTAATGTATTGCTGTTTCGGTTTGCCAATATTTTGTTGAGGATTTTTGCATCTATGTTCATCAGCGTTATTGACCTGTAATTTTCTTTCTTTGTATTGTCTTTGTCTGGCTTTGGTATCAGGGTGATGTTGGCCTTGTAGAATGATTTATGTCTTCCTCTTTTGATGTTAAAAATTTTTCCAGGGGGCCAGCCTCGTGGCGTAGTGGTTAAGTTCGCACGATCCGCTACAGCGGCCCATTCACAAGTTCGGATCTCTGGCATGGACCTACACACCGCTCATCAAGCCTGCTGTGGTGGTGTCCCATATACAAAGTAGAGGAAGATTGGCACAGATGTTAGCTCAGGGACAAGCTGTCTCACAAAAAAAAAGAAAAAAATTTTTCTAGGATATTCCCAGGTGTTGTCTATCTTGTTAATTTTTCCCAGGACAGAACAGAGCCTTTTCAAATGTTAAACTGAAGCTTTTATTTAGCTCTGGGTTGTTTTTTCCTCACTGTCGGCCAATGCCACGCCCTTATTTTTCTCATTTAATTTATTAAGACAAAATCTCTAATATTTCTTGCCTTTCTCTATCATCTTCCTGATCATTTTCTTCTCTTCATCTTTCCCCTCTGTATTCTGGAAGTGTTCCACATTTTTTCTCTATATCATGACAGAATTTCTGCCTTTGACTGTCACACTATAGTAAAACTTGACCGTATTTTGGGTTTCCTTGCATTATTTCCATGTATAAGCCAGCATACTCTGCATTTCTGCCTTCACCTTAACGTCTTTCCTCGTGTACTCACCTTTGTGCTGTGGAAGTTTTACCTTGTTCATCTTTTAGGAGGATAACCAACAACTGCCTTCTACAATGTTGTTCTGGGTTTTTGTGTGAAAAAATCATATTTAGATATTTGCTCTTCTCAGAGTCTTCAGGAAAACCATTCCTTCCCGCCGTGTTGCATTATCTTTGCAGAGTATCCATGGAGTTTTTCTGTTTCCTTTCTTTGAATATAGAGAGATCTACCTGGAATTTGGCAACAAGATGGAGTGTTCTTAGCTCCTTCCACTGTCCTCTCAGGTGCTGGCAGCCTCTTCATCTCAGACCTAGACATGAATGTCAAGTAAACCTGGACAGCTGCTAGTTTAATTAGTGAAGTCTAACAGCATTCCTTGAGCATGAGTCTGCTGGCCTGAGACTGGATGTTCTCTGGATCTGACAGCTGGAGATCTCTAATTCTAAGTCAGATGTGTACAGCTTTTGTTTCAGTGAAATACATTACCTGGAGCATTAAACCCTACATGAGCCCTGCTCCCAGAACTCTTCCTGTCTCTGCAACTGCTTGGTGAGTTTCTTCAATGACAAAGAATCCCAGGATGCAATGAACCTCTGCCCATCTTCTACTCCTGCCATGTTTGTTGCTAGGAGTATTAATCTCCCAGTGAATATAGAAAGAAAGATGTTAATGGGGCGAGGGGAGGACAGTAGTCTGGGTTTTGGAGCGAAGTTCACTGTTTTTCAATCAGTGAACCCCTGTGCCCCAGATTTAGGAATGCATTGGTCAAAGCCTTCCTCAATTCTTTGAGGGGCTCTGAACTGTCTATTTATGAAAGGTGGACAAAGAGGTGAATAATCTAAGATGATGCTCCTCGATCGTCCTAAAATGATGCATTCAGAAGAAATTCCACTCCAACTCTGACATCTCTTATCTTCATTTTCCAGGGTGCTTGCTAGTTTTTATCTTTTTCTGCTTTTTAAAGGCTATTTTAATAAGAAATTTGAAGGAAATATATCAGGTCTGGCTGGCTGGTCTGTCACCATAGCAACCCAGAGCCCTCTGTAATTGTCTTCTGAACACACTGCTTATTTGGTAGATTATGTCGATGACTATCTGTGTCATTGGTAAAAATAAAGCTGTCAGCGTGACAATTTTCCTAACTCAAAGAGTCTTCCACCCTGGGGCTGGATAAAAGCTCTGATTCTCTGGGAGAGCTGACACTCAGGGCAGAGTGCTTTCTGTGTGCATGTTGTCACTCATGAAGAGCTCCTGTCTCTAGGATTTCCACTTTTCTCTTCCCTTGTAGCTCTATTGACTCTCCCCGGAAAGAGATGTAGACAAATGTATTAGTTCCTTTGGATTTGGATCATATTTGAGACAGAACACTGAAAAATTACACTTAGCAGGAAGCTAAGTTTATCTCTAACACACTATGTTTCCTTTATTCTTCGTTAGTTCCCCACTAACACTGCTTCAGTTGATTAAATACACAAATTTAGTGTACATTTGCTGAGCTTTGATAAGCATACACCTGTGTAACCCATCACTATCCCCACTCTTGACAATCACCACCCTCCAGTTTCTCCCCTACAATTCTCAGGGTGACAGCTATGTAGCAAACAGCAACCAGTCCCAACCAGAGCAGAAGTGCAGAGGGCTCCAAGAGAGAGATAAAGAGACAAAAGTGATAGAATAACTAACATGTTCGAATAGATTAGAGGAGAGCTACTCTTCTCACAGCATTTGGCAATGAAATAGTGATGCATATATAAGTGACTACCAAACAAAACAAAAAATAGAAGTGACTATTGCTCTCAAAGAAAACAATAACTTGCATGAAATGTACAAGACATAGCTCTGCTAGGAATAATATTTACATATTCATAGTAATATAAACACTGAATATTGATCTCACTTAAATAGATACATTTATTTGGAGGATGAGGAGAAGGGAAATGGATATGTGATTAAGAAAGCCTGTACTAGAAATTCAATAGAGAATATCTAAAACTGAAAAATCAAGAAAGACTTATTTAGAATATTATACAGAAAAGAAAAAGTTGAATGTGATTGTCTTTGGAGAGCTTGAGTTGAGGAGGTAAGAGGCAAGAAAATTCTGTCCTTTGTAGTTTAGTACCTCAGTAGAACTTAGTAGAACCAATTGACTTTTTAATCCATGTACCTATAAAATATCATTAAAAATTAAAGTGAAATTTTGGGGGCCGGCCTGGTGGCATAGTGGTTAAGTTCGCACGCTCCACTTTGGTGGCCTAAGGTTCACAGGTTCGGATCCTGAGCACAGACCTACACACTGCTTGTCAAGCCATGCTGTGGCAGGCATCCCACATGTAATGTGGAAGAAGATGGGCACGGATGTTAGCCCAGGGCCAATCTTCCTCAGCCAAAAGAGGAGGATTGGCAACAGATGGTAGCTCAGGGCTAATCTTCCTCACCAAAAAAAAAAAAAAAATTAGAGTTTAATTTTAAGCAGCAGAAGAAATAAATACTGTGTGGCAGATTTCCAATTCCATTAATATTATGTGCTAGGTATATGGTGGGGCAGGGGGGACCTCTCACTAAAAAGCAACTAGAAATATTGGTGAAATATACTAACCTTTAAATTCTATACCTGAGTTTAAAGAAAGTAAGAGGAATCCCCCAGGCAAAACCAAAAAGAAACTGAAAAGTAGAAGGTATCTTTGCTCTGGCATCATTTGCCAATTGCAGAAACCAAAGAGCTTAAAATTTAGTGACCCCACACTGACAGGAGACAAGGTGTTGGGACTATACAGGACTTGGAATGAAACCCCCACATAAAACCAAGACTCTCAAAGAGATACTCTCTTGGTGAAAGAGAGTATTAGAAAAGAACAAATCTTTCCAGAAAAGAAAGAGATGACAAGGAACTTACCTGCCTTGGCCTGGGCCCTGAGTGGGAAGAAGAAATGTCTCATCTGAGAATTACAGGCAAAGGCCTACTCTCATACGAGAGAGCGTTTCAAATGTACTATGCATTATCTTGGATGCCCAAGTCAAGAAATTATCATAAAAAGTGGTCTTAGATTAAAAACAGCCGTGGGATTCCTGGCAAAAGCCAACCCAAATCTTCTTTGGAGAGACACATACTTAACCCTGGGCTCACAGATTCTGACAGATAAGATTCTGCCTAATATAAGCTCAAACATAAAATTAGAAAATAAATTAAAAAGCAACAGGAAAACTCAAACAAATATCAAGCTACCATGAACAAGATCTTCAGAAACAACATATATCAGAATTAGAGCCTCAAAACTTCAGATAATGGAATTACTAGATATAAACAAAATATGAAGTATACTTGAAATTATTAGTTAAAAGAAAGAATGACAAACATGAGATAGGAACAAGGTACTATCACAAATGATAAGGCAAATTTGAAGAATACATGTATAGTACATCTAGATGTCAATGAAATTAAAAACTCAGTGAAGGAGTTCTGTTTTCAATAATAGTGATTTAGATCATCACTCCTACCTGGATTGAAAGAATTATTTTCTGGAATTTAACAATTATTAAAATTGTCTCAAGAAGAGATAGAAAAAAACACATGAATTATATTCATGAAGGAAGTTAAAGAAGTTTCCAAAGAACTCTTCTCTTTACGCTCTCCCTAAACAAAGAAACGAAACAACAAAAGTTTCATATATTTTAAATCAGTCAATTTTTCAATAGAAATAGAATAGAAAGAGTGGATATTATTTAAATTTCTTCAGCCCCAGATAAAGAAAATACGATTCCAAATTATTTTTTAAGAAGCCAAGACAGTTCTTTCCTCAAATCTTGACAAAGATACAAAGGAAAAAAGAAAACCATAATCTGATATTATTCAAAATTAATAATAATACTTAAAAATTGTAAATAGATTACAGCATTTGATTTAAAGAACACACCACAACCAAATGCAATTTTCAAGAATTATTCAATAATAGAAAATTCAATGAAATAACTTATTTAAAAGGTCAAAGAAGAAAATCCATTTAATCATTGCAATAAAAATTAAAAGCTTCTGAAATTCAGAGCCCTTTGTAAAGAACAGATGCTCAAATGTAAAGACAAGAAGCATCTTGGAGAGTTTTTTTCTAATTAGAAAAAACTTATATACAACAGAAAAGAAATTAAGATATATGTTAATGTATATTTTGTGATCTGAAGCTGAGTTATAAAGCGTGGAAGGAGATTAAGAGTATTCCTGTGAAAGCAAAGCTGTGACAGACTACAAGAATTTTTATACCCAGTTATAGAAGTTTGTACTGTGTCAGTTTGGTTAAAACTATGTTTCCCAGAATTCTCTTTGCTGTATGATTTCAGGTTAGATTTGGACAGAAGAGGGATTTGCATGAGGTTTAGAAGTTCAAAAGAGAAGGTCTCTGAAGGCTGTCATTATTGAATATAGTGATGAGGGAGGGAGGTGGATAACACAGCTTATCCTTGCTCTCTCTGCTCTATCTCTAGCTCTTTTTAACTGATGTCTCTTTTGATCAAGAGCAACCACAGGCTGAACACCAGCTGCTCGATGGAAGACTGACACAGAGGTGGTAGCCACACAGAGGCATAGCTTCCCATGGACCTCCCCATGTGCTTCCTCTTTGCAATCTCACTTCAGTGGCTGGGTAGCTTGACATCTCAAATTGGTGACTTCTCAGATTGGTGACAACTTCCTCCTGGATCTTCACTTCCCAGATCCTCCACAACTGTATAAAGCTTAATTCCTATGCTGAATCCTATATCCCAAACTCACAGTGGTTCCACTTCCTCAATTGAACTCCAAATGACTCAACAGCCAACTGTCATCTGTACATTAAAACAACTAAAAGTTTTTCTCAAACACATAAGAATTCAAAATATAAAGCAGTTATAAGCCTTTACGAAGATGAAGTCTTTGAAAACTGATTAAACGAACAAGATGACTAAGAGAAGAAATTAAAAAGAACTCATGATAAAGAAGTCATGAGCTGAAAGGATAAATGGAGGCTACTGATGTTTTTAAAATGTAAAATTAATACTAGGCAAATGTAGGAAATAAAGATATAGAACAGAATGCCAATATCATAAAACTCGATCTTGGATTAATAATGCAAATAAATGGAGGCAATTTTGAAGATGGTAAGAGGGAAAATTTCTAGGTGTGCTAATTTCTTCACAGTAAGGAGTTAGTAAATACCATATGAATGGAAATTTTTTTAAAAATGAGGTTTAAGTTTTAAGGATTGTCAAAGTTATGAAGATACCCATGTGGATCACTAAAAACAGACTACAAAACATCCAAATTAATAGAGAAAGAAAAAATTTTCAAAGCAAAACAAAAAAATGTAGTTCATAAATCAAAAGAAAAAAATGCTTTCAAAAAGAGAAAACAATATTAAATAAAAACAAAAATAAGAGGGAGAAGATTTAGCAATAAAACCAGAGTATGATTCTTTAAAAATAATAATAAAATTGACAAAATTTTTGCCATTCTGATAATAACAACAAAAAAAGGACCATATAGATAAAATTTGAGTTGAAAGAGCAGAGCTACACATAGGAATGGGGTTAGAAATCAGAGATTACTATGAACAGCTTTATTCAATAAATATTAACATTAGCCAAAATGGTTGATTATACAGGCACATATAAATTCCCAAAATAATCATAAGTAGGAGAAAAAGTTGAATAAACCAATAATATTAAACTACATAGCTTCTCAAAGATGTACCCCTAAAATAACCACTTCACCTGGATGGTGCTATAAATGAGTTGAATCAATCTTTAGAAAAGTCCTATATTATGTCAATTGTTCAAGAGCATAAAAAATTATAGAACTATCTAATCTGTTCTACAACACTAACATAAAATGCTTATTAAAAAAGAAACAGAGAAAGTTGAGAGGAATGAAGGAAGGAAGGAAGGGAGAGAGGGAGAGGGAAAGAAGAGAAGAGGAGATAGAAAGGGAAGGGAAAAGAGAAGAAGAGAAGAGAACAGAAAGAAGAGAGGAGAAGAGAGGAGAGGAGAGGAGAAGAGAAGAGAAGAGAGAAGAGAAGGGAAGGGAAGAGAAGAGAAGAAAACGAAACAAAACACCTATAGGTTATCTTCATTTATAAATGCTGAGTTTTGTTGTATAAGGCAGTTAGTTTACTGACAGGTCAGATTTCTTCCTCTGGACAGCTAGGGTAAGTCTAGAGCAGCCTGCACTAGGGCTTATGTAGCTCTGCTCTTAAGTTATGGCCTTTCTGAGATCTCAACTGAATGCCTCCTCTGTTTAGTGAGTCTCCTCCACCCTGGCTGGTTAGAACTCCAATGTTTCCTAGCACTTTGTGATTTCAGAAAACTCCATTTAGCTCACAAACCCATAGTAGCCATTCTCCATCCGTCCTCGTGGGCTCTGTAGACTCGGGTTAATATTCAGCCAAAGGTTCAAGAGATGGCTGAAGATTTCTGAAGAGATCCTTCTCTGTACAACTTCCTTCTCCGTTTCTCTGGTACACAAACTCCAGCCACCTCAGCAGCTCCCTGGTCTCTGGGATCCAGTTTCCTCTGCTACAGGTTGGAAAATTCTCCAATGTAGAAAGTTGGAGTGAATGTGTAATTCACCTCCTGTTTTTCCCATCTGTTGAGATTACAGCCCTACAGTGCCTACTATTCAATGCTTGGAAATAGTTGCTTCATATATTTTGATCAGTTTCATAGTTGTTTACAGCAGGAGGGTAGTACAATATCTGTTACTGTATCATGGTCAGAAACAGAAGTCCATGTGCCATTTTTTAATTTAAAAAAGTCTTAAACCTTGAATGTAACATAAGAATAGGAAACTGAGAGTGAATAAAAGCAAAGAAATTGCTGAATGTCAAGGCAGATGTTTCTTTATCACAAAAAGTATTCCCTAAAATATTCTCCTAATTTAAAAAAATAAGTAGTCATAAAAAGCTTTACAAGATTGGGGTAGTGGGTTCTTTTTCTTTTTAACTACTTGTTAAAATTTTATACAGCTCCAATCAACATCCTGCTACAAGTGAGGAGGACATTGGCACTCGAACAATTTTCCCCACCACTACTATTCCCAATTGATACATAAGGTATCATTTTAAAGGTTTATGACTTGCCTTCTGTTTGTCTCGCTTTCCTTTTTTTTTTTCTTTTTGCTGAGGAAGATTAGCCCTGAGCTAACATCTGTTGCCAATCCTCCTCTTTTTACTGAGGAAGATCGGTCCTGGGCTAAAATCCGTGCCCATCTTCCTCTACTTTTTTTTTTCATATGTGGGACACTTGCCACAGCATGGCTTGATAAGCGGTGCACAGGTCCACATCCAGGATCCAAACCTGCAAACCCCGGGCCGCCAAAGCAGAGCACGAGAATTTAAGCACTACACCACCAAGCCAGCCCCCTCTTTCCAATTCTTATACCCTATGATTTCCTCTTTTTGTCTTGTTTCATTGGTAATGTTACCCTAGCCCCCTGGCCCCATAGACATTAACCACAACCCTTCTCAGAACAAGCCTAACACATTCTCTTTAGCTTACAGGAAACCACAAAGAGAGGAAGGAGGAGATGTCTGAGACAAATAGTCGAAACCAGGTAAAACCAGTTGAAAGCAACATGGCAGTCTGACTTGACCTGACATAGACCCCACAGCTCATTATACACTCAGTGTAATGCATTATCATATTATGGAACACACTCACCAGTGCCATGACAGTTTACAACTGCCATAGCAATGGCAGGATATAACTACATAAGGAAAGAAAAGAGGTGGCACCCTTGTTCCCCCCGAAAAGCCTGCCCCGTTCCCTGAATACCTATAAATATTCCTCTCCTTCGTTACCTTGACCCCTTAGAACAGCTGTTTAATTGCCCCAACAGCTGAGAAGCTGATTTGTGAACTTAGTTCCCACTTCTCCATTCTTTGGTCATTGAATAAAGCTTGCACTGTTGAACACTCACCTTCAGTTTTGTTTCAAATCCACGACATCAAACAGGAAAGAACCCTCCAAAGAAGGGATGGATTGTGGGCACAAGGTCCACCTATGGGCCCCTCCTGGGAGATCCTCCAAGTATGGATTGGAGTCTCACCAGAGTGAGGTAAAATTTGTAACAGTAAGACTCTCTAGTAAAATGAGGAAAAGAGGCAGTGATAGTGAGCATCAATATTTTGTTCCTTACTTAGAAATATTTCAAAATTTCATCAAGTATAATGTTTGCTATGGTTATTGATAGTTCCTCCTCATGGGTTAAGAAAGTAGGACTTTTTTAAAATCATAAATGAGTGTTGCATTTCATCAAATGCTTTTCTGCAATTTAGAGATGCTCATACAATTTTTAATATGTTGATATCTTACCTTGATGGATTTCATTGACATCATCCTTGTATTCCAAGGATAAATCCTATTTGAACATGTCATGTCTTTTCATATACAACAAAAGTCAATTTGTTAATAATTTATTTAAGATTTTTGCAATAATT